TGCATAGTCTATAACTCTGTGACAGTATGAAGAAACTCTAAAGAATAAAACTTGTCACCATGAAAAGAAAAGTAAGAACATATGGGACATTTTTGGTCCCGGTACCATCTCCATTTGAAAGACAACCAAACGTAGTTTTTTCCTACATTAGTCTCTTGTGAACGACTGAATACACAGAATTTCTAAAACTATTGCTCTTTAAACAGAGATGGGTACTGAGTAAGAGATTTGCCTGCCATTCCATTAACTTTAGTGGTAAACTACTATTTGACCACGCATTTTGCGGTCCCGGTCACTATATTTGCTTAATTAATTGATAACAAAGGCCTGTGATATACTTTAAAGTATATAGGCTGAAAGTGCAAACATTTCTGCACAAAACGCGTGGTCTAACAGTACTTTACCACTAAAGTTAATGGAATGGCACGTAAATGTTTTACCGGGATCAAAAAATATTTTTGATCCCGGTGCCCATCTCCATGTTTAAAGAATACAAGTTTCTCTTTTTATTAGCCTTGATATTCTTTTACAGTGTTTCACTAGTGATAAACAGTTCTGTCTATGTGGGTCGGATAAGGTTGCGTTATCATGTCTGTAGTCAACATGATAGATATGCTGACTCAACCTGACCCAACCCGACCCAGAGATGTAGTGTTATATCTGAAATTTTAATTTAATTCCGTAATGCCACCCTCACCCCTCACCCTCAACCTAACCCAACTCAGAAATTTAGTGAAATATATGTTGAATACAGACATGATAACCGAACCCAACCAGACCCACACATATGGAGTGTGCGTTCTATATCAATTATAGAAGCCCAAAAGGGGAAAAAGATGCATTAATTTGAAGGCATTACGGAATTAAATTAAAATTTCAGATATAACACTACATCCAGGATGGCATACAAGTCGGGAATTCCACAGATGTTTCTCTATGGCTAATTACGATGGCTATTAATGAAATTAAAAGAAGTGAACGATTTAAAGTTAAAAATGTGATTACCGCTGGTATCTCCTCTGGAAAAAATAAACCAACCAGAGAACAAATGTTTCCGATGCTTAATCTAATAGTCAAGCAGTTGAAAAATTTAGAAGCTGGACAATTATTTGAATTAGCATTACTAGAAAAGAAATTAGTAAAATTTAATGTGTTTTTAATTGGAAGTTGTTGTGATAAACCTGCACAATCACTTGTTCAAAATGTTAACGAATGTATTGGAGCCTATGGCTGTGGAAGATGTGAAATTCAAGATATGTATAAACAAAAAACTATATGAAGAATGAATTTTGCAATTGATTCTATTTATATCTTTTAGGTGGAACAGTACCGATTAGAGAAGGCTCAAAAAAAAATTCGTGTTTTCCCATTAACCACATCCAAAAAAAAGCCATTATTACGAACAAATCAAACAAATGATACAATTATGAAGATTTACGATAATCTGCCAGGTACTGCAACAACCACAGGCCCTTATCGATGTTTAGTTGCGTCGACTATAGGACCCAGGAATATAAAACATGGTCAAGTGAAAGATCAATTGAAAGGTCATGCTGGTCACTGTGTATTACGGCCTTTAAAATACTTTGATGTCGGTACAAGTTTTTTATCAGAT